GGTAAAGGAAAGAAGCAAAGAAAAAGGGAAAGAAAGTACTGGCCGTGTGTTTGCTCTTGGAATAGATGATGTCATGCTTTTGTCATAACACCCCAATTTTTTAAAAATTGTTATAACTTTTTTATATTTACTCCAAATTTTTCAAACAATATATCAAAATTCCTAACTTTTTATAACCTTTCAAATGACACCAATATTACATGTATAAAGTATAAAACAATTTTCAAATTTTAACTGTTGGAGTTTTCTTGATCCCAAAAAAATACGAAACACAAATTTTTAATCCATGAACTCTCAATAAATAACTAAGTATTACATGAAATCATTTTATTCTTTATTAAAACTAAAAAATTAAAAAATATTATTAACAATTTTCCTAATGAAATTTATTTTTTGTTACATCAAAATGTGTATTTTTTATTTCATAATCATTTATGGGAAAAAATTAAAAAAAAAAATTACGTATAATAATTTAATTGATGTTTTACTAAATCGATATGTAAAAAAATATGCTGAATGTACTTTATTGACGGTAATGGGATACAGAAAAATAGGAGTCTAAACATTGTTTTCATATGGACGGAGTCCATATTTAACATTTTAGACTCTTGACCACTACAAATGGTCTAAACGTGGCATCTCCCATCTATAAAAGTAGGGCCACTGATATATAAGTCGTCCAAGGATTTGTCTTTTGTTTGATTTCGAATAATGATTTATGTTAGGGTCGGTAATGGTAGTGATTCTCATTCACTCATTTGGTTTTGTTTGGAGTTTGGATTGAATGATTGAGGTGTGACCATTAACCGTGAATAATAATGATTGGCACCGTAGAGCTATAAACCATAGATTACGATAAACCAAGTGGATGGCGGATTAAAGAAAGGTAAATTAGTGAGTGATTTGGACTGTTTATGTTATGGAAAGAAATATTCCACTAAGTAGCTAGAGCAAAGACACACAATCTGAGTCCTATGGCTACTGGACAGGTGTAACAGGTAGTGCATCCCACGTTTGACGGTTATGCTAGACGTCTAGTGCACCCCACTATGTAGCTAGCTAGACGTTTTCATCGTGTAGTTTAGAGAAAAATAATCCGTAATACGGGCTGGACATTGGTGCGTCCAGCCCGTGTCAACAAGCACCTCAAACAGTCATACTGTGAGATTGCTCGTTCGCGGTTAGTACCTGGACGTTTCTTGCCTATTTTTCTGAAAATCACACAAATTGGGATTCTCTACTGATGCCTTGGAATCAGTCACTACTTAAAGCAATCGACCACGAGCCTTCTCTATGGCGTTGCCTGTTGGTTCATCTGGTAGACCACAAATGAGTTTCTTTTCACCAATAATCACATCACTCTCGAGACTCTGTCACAATGTATCAAACTATGGGTCCAGACTATTGGGGAGGCTCTGACACGAGACCAGTTCATTAATACTACTGTTACACCCGCCAAGATAGTGGTAGATGTCTCTTGGCCGTCACCACCACCCGAGTGGATTGCTCTTAATACGGGCAGATCAATTATACCTGAAATCGGGCAAGCAGCTACAGGAGATTTGTTCCGCGATGCTGATGGTCGCTGTTTGGCAACTTATAGCACGAACCTTGGTATCTGCTCGATCACCAGGGCTGAATTGAGAATCGTTATAACTGGATTGCAATTGGCTTAGGGAACATATATAGGAAGGTACTACTGTACGGGTGCAACTGGATTCGCGTGCTGCAATCCAGCTTCTGCTAGGGGCTGGGGAGATCACACACCAACACTCTTCTGAGATTGCCAATTTTTGTGAGCTGTTGGATCGAGACTGCATGATTAAGGTTGAACATATTTATAGGGAAGGCAACCAGTAGCAGGCTACTGACTACTTAGTTGGTCTTGGTCATAGTTTACCACTTGGTGTACATGTTATTCCTAGGAATGATTCTACTTTGTCGTCTTATTTATTGTATGACTTTTTTGGGATTTCTCAACCTCGCTTGATTAAAGCTTACAAGAAAAATGATACTTCTAGAGGTATGATTTACTCATTTACACGTCAAATGTATTTTTTCTTGTGCATAGAGAATTGATCATCATTTTAGTAAAGGAAATTGTTTGTGACCCTGAACAATAGACAATACACTTTTTCGGAGTCACAGACAGTTTCCATTACTAAAACGAAAATCAATTTTCTGTGCACAGACAAAATACACTTGAGGTGTAAACGGACCAAGCCGGCATATACAAATAGCATTATTTTGAAAATAATAATACTGGCTTATTTTTTTACTTTTCGCTTCAATTAAAAAATGAAAATTATGTGCTTCATACGAGACATAAATAAATTAATATGATCCGTGAATTTTTTTTACATAAAAGAAAGTGGTGAATTCTATTTTGAAACGGATTATAAAGATATTTTTAGGAAGAGAAGGGTAAATGTTAAGGGAGATTTACCTATATATGTGTGCATGAAAAATTAGGCTTTAAGCCCTCACTCATTTGGCAGATACTACGTATTTTGGAGGCCTAAAATGTGTGCATGAAAAATTAGGCTTTAAGCCCTCACTCATTTGGCAGATACTACGTATTTTGGAGGCCTAAAATGTTGAGGGGAATTCTAACCACAACCACTCATTTACTAAATACAGCCATGATTATTTGTTTATTCCAATTATATCCTTTAAAGAATAAATTAGCATAGTCTGTTAACATGGCTTCTACCGGCAGAGAGCAGTCTGCACTCTATCTCTCTGCTGAGAAAAGTAAGTCGCCAGACAGGACCGACAACGACGGCGAAGGCTGAGATGTAGATGAGGTGCCTCAAGATTGGGAACGAGGGCTCACCTACGGGCTGCGGCTAACGATGACTCACCTTCGAGCCCTGCCATCCCAAGTCAGATTGCCATCCATCTGTGGTTAATTAAGTTTCATCCCTCATGAGACTGCGAAGTAGGAGCAAATCACCATCTCAGAGTGCAAACTTAAGAATAGATCTCAAAGGCCTTCTATATACTTTAGGCATTAGAAATACATATTCAATTAGATTTAATAGATATTTCCATGATGATGGGGTTCATAAATTCTCCATACGAATATGATAAACTGACTGCAAATCAAAAGCAAACATTTCAAAGAAATTTTAGTTTAGTAATTTTAGTATTTCTCTTCACTTTGTTCCTCAATGGCATTCTTCTTCTCTTCACCGGCCGGAGCAGCAGCGGCACCACAAGCGGATAAGGCAGCAACGACAATTGCACCACCACCGCCACAGCCACCTACGTTCATGATGCAATCATCCGTCATCGATGTTCTTTTTCTCACAGAGCTTGGTCAATGATCCTAGGCGATCTTCTCTATTGTGACGAGGATTAGATTCGAACAAGTGCAAAGGATTTCAATAAGTTACGTTCATAGATGTAAGGGTAACTTAGGCTTTTTACAATTTAGGGGGCTGTGGATAGCAAAAAGGGGGCTGCCAATAGAATCTCCCAAATGTTGATTGGAAAAACACTCTAGAAAGAAAGTTGGCAATGGAATAGAGGTCCGGTGATGACCGGGACTGATTCGGGGAATCCAATTGGGAGTTGGATAGCTAGAGTCTAGAGATGTGAACATGGAATTTCTTTTGGGCCATAGTAAATACAAGGAGGCTCATTGTCTCCAACAGAAACAGAAGATATGGGAGTGGGAGCAGCTTTGCTCAAGGCAATTCAAGAAGATTGGAACCGTGTGGAGCTGAGGTAGTATAATTTTTATCTCTTTACAATTTCCTTTTTTTTTATATAAACAAATAACTAATTTATTATTAAAAGATAGCAAATTAAAGACATGAATAGCTTGATACTACAATGGGATGAGATACGGAAAAGATTAGATGAACCCTTCCAGATCGTTAACCACGCAATGATGTAGTCTAGTCTAACAGTCTTGTTATTCTTCTTGCTACTCCACAGAAAAAATAAAAAATTACAACTAAATGACCCGATTTCACCAGCTACCGAAAAGGGAGAATTAGTTTGCCTAGCAACTAACAAAGGAAATTCAATTGAGCAGAATTTATTCGGATCATCAGTTTGACCAGCCACCGAAAAGGAGATCGAGTTGAGCGCTATCTTATGAGTTGAACGAGGTGCTCCTCCTGAACCACTGTTATGAGTTGAACGAGGTGCTAGGGTTCAAGAAAATTATTTGATCAATCATTGTTATTTTAAAGTTGGGGTTCTTATTAAAGTCTTTGTTGCTAGTTTTGTCGGGATGATTAGAAAGTTAGCTTATTTTTTGTTGTTAGAAGTATACGGATCAATATGACCAATGATAGCTGTTTCAAGTCCGATTAGTGATTAGCAATTTGTGTTGCTCTTTCAGGGGAGACCGTTTTTATGTCCAATCGTAGAGTTTTTAGTCATATTGGTGAAGTTTAGTTAGTGTGTGGTATGATCAACATCCTGAAACTCATGATATAAATATAGACGCTTTTCTTTATAAAAAAACATGTGCACATTTATTATGTATTGTGGATACGTTTTTGTGCTCGGCGTGTACAGTCTTTACATATTCTAATATTTTGGGACACATTTGTTACCGTTGTCTTTAAAAAATTATTCTTGTTTATTAGAATGCCACAATGCGTCTAACTTGAAATTGATCTCTTCCATTCACTTTTGAAATCAATGAACAAAATTAGTTCTTATTTTCCACCTATGAAGCACTTTTTATTTGAACCAAACATGTACATTAAATATCAATATACTTTACGCGCACTACAATATTAGTCACGAACCGTAAATACTCAAATATGAACTGAGTAAATGCATTAGTAGTTAAACACATGTAATTTTTCAAATGACTTGCAATGTTTTTAATTGGACTGGTTACTATCCCATTTAAATCAGATCAGACCAAAATGGACCAGATCGTAACAATTTAGACTGCATCAGATCAGATTAAGATAAATCAGACCAAATCATAGTAGAACAAATCAGACTAAAATAGACCAGACAAAAACAAAACACACCAAACTAAATCAAACTTGATTAGAAAACTTTAGTCCCATTAAAAACACTCATATTTGCAAACCTAATGTAATCAAGGGAGGAGAAATATTAAAGCATTACCCTTGTTACTGATTGGTTACCAAGTCAAAAACTTTATTGCTCCTAATGAATGAACGATTTACATTTTAGATACTGGAAAGAATCTCTCTGTTAAATAGAATTACACATTGCTTCCAGCCTCAGCATGAGCCAGAAGCTGATGCTGCTTGAACCATCCTATTAACTTGCATTGTCTTTTCCTAAGCCCAGACCACTCTATTTACTGCGCTAATTGCTAAAATATATGCTCCCTCTGTCAAAAAGAAAATAGGGAAAAAGTCTTGTCAAATACTCTAGTATTTGAAGTATCAACAATTACTCCATCTTATCCCCCATATCCCTTCCACAAAGAGTCTTATTTTAATGGTTTTCTGTTCTGGAAAAGACTCATGTTTAGTCAAACCAATATAACTTTCTAAAAAAGCTACAGAAAGATGGAGTAAAAACAGGTTGAATATGACAAACATAACGATTCTACTGTGACAATTAATAAAGGTTGAACTTTGGTAAAACCTGGTTTTTTATGGGTCAGGAAGGAGTATTAACTATCTCCAACCCAAAAAAGATTCATGAACTAAACAAGTAAACAGTTGAGGAGAGGAGTATTGAGTGATCCAGACACTTGTGACTTACCCATAAGGCGAGAGAGGTGATGAAGTGAAAAAGGTTCATTTTTCAACACCCTGTTGAATATACTGAATCAGATCATACCCGGCAGTAGTCCACTTGTTGTATGCATCATTGCATGTACGGATCATGAAGTTGGCCGCCTCACGTTCACTCATTTCAGGATGAAACCTCTTCCGCAGGTTTCCAACTGGGTCCCCCCTACTGAAACAAGGCAACCCACTGTCTAGCATCATCACAACCGTGTTAATAATACCGTCCATGTAACAACGAGCAGCGAGGTAGCCTTTCACACACAAACTGCATGAACACACACATATCTATTACTATGTCTAACTAAAAAGCAAAAGGTGGTGTTTTTCCTGTCTCAACACAGCCAGTCATAGATAGGACACCATCTCACCTCACAAATTGGAACCAGGTTTCACTCTTCATCACCCCAGAGGGGTCAACTAGTTGAGTCATTTCGTGACTCAGCTTGAAGTGAGCGCTCTCAAATCTCATATTGTTCCCAGGAGATGTCTCGAGAATAAATCCAAAATCAATGTGAACAAGCCTACCAACGCTGCATTTACCAAATATGCATAATCACTGCTGTAATTTTCAATTATGTAACCTCATACTGAAAACTGGTTCACATAATGCCACCTGATATAAAATACTTGATCCATCGTCTAAAAAAATGTCATGTTTCAACAACCTTTGTAGTCCCAAAAAGGAGTCCTGTTTTATAAGTTACTTTTCATTATTAAAATTTGGAGCCATGCCTGGTTAGGATTATTTGGCTGAAATGAAATGAGTGAATTTGGAGGAAATATATGAAAGGAGAAATGTTAGGTAATATTCATTTCACTGAAACAAACAAGTCAGCCTACTTTATTCTTATTATTTTGCTTATTCTACTGATTAGTAGAATAAGCTGGATCTTTTTACAAAACAGAGCCTTGAACCGATTTCTGCCAAGGAGTATAAGTAATTATTCATGTTTAGTAAAAGTTCGTATCTTGGTTGACTTGACTGAAAATAAACCCAAACATTACTCGTACATGATTCTTTTTTTTGTAAGATGGGTATAAAATAATAAAATCAATAAGGAAGTGATTTGGTATTAAAAAAGTTGGAGTCTACCCATACTTATCAAATAAAAGGTTCCCGTTATGCCTATCCTTCGGTTGAAGCAACAGGCTAGCAACTGCATAGCCAGCACTACTGATTATGAAGTTCTCGCGGGCAGCTTCAAAACTGGGAGAACCAACCGGCCCAAAGTCCTGTTGGAATATCTCATATAAACCACCATCATTCGTCTCCCCCATTTGACTTCTGCTCCTCGAGTTGGGTACAACCTGCACATGAGAATAAAAACAAAAACAAAAGGAAATTCCTAATAAATCTGCATTCTCTTGTTAGTATTTAGGTTGGTTGCAAACTTGCAATAACAGTAAGGAAAAGTACATATTACACTATTACACTATTAAAATCAATAAGAAGATTAGTCAAATCGAAATTACTAATAAATCTGCATTCTAAATGGAGTCATTGCATTTGACTTTCTAGTCAAAATTTCCATTTCTATGAGTAACAAATATAGTTATGCTTTTGGATTCAGAATTAGAGTTGTTATCCTTTGCATTACTATGTATTATGTAGAGAACATCTAATATTGGACTTCAGGACATGTTCAATTTAAATGTTAAAACTACAGATTAACCAAAAGCGGGCTGCAGGCCAGCTCAAGCTGTAGAAGCACCCTATAGTCAACACTAAATTGCGTATAGCATATAATGTAAGATTGTTGGATAATATTATAAAAAGCATTGTTCGTCAGGATAGCTGAGTAATCTACTTATAACAGCATATGTGCCTTTAATTAGGATTTTGATCTGTTAAACAATAAACAGTAATCCAACGGTTGATCATTAAACTTTCCTAACTGCAGACATATATCATGAAAGACTGATGAGAAGACACCCACGTATATATGAATAAATATGTGTGTGTGCTCTTTCTGTCCCATAACTAAGATCTTACTTCAAAATAGCATTCATATTCAGCCTAGCAACTTTTTGCTTCAAACATTTCCAACGTCGCCCATTTTTATTGTTTTTGTTTTATGCTCATTTTTAGATATTAATATCTTTTTCTTCTTTTCATTTATCCTCATTTACACACACTCTCTGTCCCATTTTCACTTTGACTTTTATGGTCTGCAATATCGACCTTTGACCATTGTTATTTATAATTATAAACTAATAACACTTATAATAAACACCAGTAATAAGTTACTCCCTCCGTCCCGAATTGTAAGGCATTTTACGGTTTACGATGTTTAACTGAGGATAAAGCAAATGGATCTCTGTCCACACTCAAATTATTTTTAGAAAAAAGAATTACATATTCAGAAACTACATTAAAAGCTTTACAAAGTCACAAAAACCAGAATCAAATTTGATAAAAATTTGATATGAGGTAATGGTCAATTGAGTACATCAACTTGTATGAGGTGGAGTAAAGAGTACACTATATATTGCATTTGATCTTTTTAAGTACACAAGTTCGGGTTTTATGGGTTAATTGAGTACACCCGTTAGATTAAGACGTTAATACGACTGAATTGGCTAACAGAATGCTAATAGGTCGACTTCTTGAAGGTCGATGTCAGACCCCAGTCACTTGATCGACTTTCCCTTGGTCGATGTCAGACCCCCGAATGTCGACTTCTCTTTGGTCGATGCAACCCCGCTGGCCGATGCCCCCCAAAGGTCAACCTCCGAAGTTCGATTTTTCCTTTTTGGTCGACTTCGTGAAGGTTGGTGCGATAATCTTGGTCCATTACTCATTCTTACTCAACACTCCGTTAGCCAACTCAGCTGTATTAACGTCTTAATCTAACAAGTGTACTCAATTGACACTAAAATCCCAAATTTGTGAACTTAAAAAGATCAAATGCAATATAGTGTACTCTTTACTCCACCTCGTACAAGTTGGTGTACTGAATTGACCCTTTCCTCATATATAAAGTAAGAGATTAAGAGTGATTTGTGTTGAACAAGTGAATAGGAAAAGTATCTTGTAAAATGGGACTGAGGGAGTATAATTTAATAACATATGTAAATATACACAAACGCGTATACATATGTGTATGTGTGTGTTAAAACAAATTACTCAATAGCACTCTCATGTTATAAATTTACTCTGTATAATGTATAAATAATTAATGATAACTTTGACTCCAGATGTAAAGCTGAAAGCTTGTTTGTGGGAGTGTGTTGTTTATAAAAAAAATGTGCATTCTACACTGGAAGATGCACAGGTGAAACTAAGATTAACCTCAATTATTCCTCTCTCTGGACCAGTCGGGAGAACTCCATATGGATACAAATAAAGGTTTAGCCCAACAGCTGCAAAGATATCTTTGAGAAGTGAAATAACTTGTAGAGCAAGAACATCTTGCCGACAGTCATCTCCAACCTACATTACATGAAAGTAGCACAAAAATGACCTTTGCCAAATTAATTTTAAAAGTTTTTAGCAGTATCCTAGTTTTGCTTGAATTTATTTTCTTAATCCTGTATCCACTGATAGTTCTTTCATTTACAAATGGACTTGCCCACAGCCATATCCAACCCTTTACCAACCATACCTTGAATATGCATGCCTGAGGCTTTATATCATTTTGATCCCCGTCTTTATCTACAACATTAAATGTTATCATGATAGGAACTTTTGCGGCTGATTGTAAGGGAATTCCACTGTCAACTTGAATACCCCGGACAAGTTTACAGGGATCAGTAGGGAGATAAAGGTCATCTCCTTCCACCTGAATTTTCTCCAACTCCCTGTTTGGAATTTATGGTTTAGTCACCGATATAAACATATGAATCGACAAGTTTGTCTATTCCCTTTACCTCCGAATCCCATCTCGTCTCTCCTCCTTTGGAATTGGATAAAGAACACCAGATATGGATGTGACCTTGTCAAAGAAATCAAATTCTCTCTGAAATACATCTAGAGCATGGGAGTTGAAACCATCAATTATATGCTGCCTAACCACAGGTAGTAAAGCCTGAAATTCATTGTTCTGAAAAACAACCAAAAACACTCAAGTGACTTCCACTTCTTTTCTTCATTAATACACACGCACAACTTTACTTCATCATCACCATTAACTGTATCATAAAATGAATCAATTTTTCACAGACAAAATATGTAGATGTCAACAATGAACACAATGCCCTGCAACACCACCATGTCAATATTAACAAACAAGGATTCGTCTTGTTTAGAATACAAAAGACAATTATAAACTAAAGGTGCTATATATCAATATGGAACACAATGTGTTGCAACACCACCATGTCAATATTAACCAACATGTATTTAGTCTTAGAAGATAAAAGACAATTATACTATAGGTACTATATCAATGTGGAACACAATGCCCTGCAACACAAAAATGTGAATATTAGCGAACAAGGATTAGTCTTGTTTAGAATACAAAAGACAATTATAACCTGTAGGTGCTATAAATCAGTATGGAGCTGGCTAACTTCAGCTTAAAGGGAGTTCATCTTATTTAAAAAAAAAACATATATAGTGTATTTAAAATATGAACCCAGTTCCTTGTGACATTAAAAGATTAGGAAGTTAACTGGTGGAATCAGTCAAACACTTGAGGGATAAAAGGCGGTCCTCAATATCCACACATACATACCTATTTTTATGTACATATATGTGTCTAGACAATTATCCATATGCACATCATACACTTCAGGTTGTATTGAAAATTAAACTCTATACAACATCCTCTTTATTTCTTCAGGACCGAGTTTAAAGGTTTAGAGAAGGCAAATTTTCCTTTTAACAATAAAAGCCTACAATGACAATGAATCCTGTTTCTCGCTAGAGCATTAAAATAATTAGTTGACCGATAAAGTAAACAGGCGTACTGGCATACCTTAACAGAAGCATCTTTGCCTAACTCTTTTCCTGGCTCCAGTTCACAGGTCTCTCCCTGTTTTTCATTTGTTATGAAGTCAAAGAACTTTAAAATCAAACTAAAGCATGTTTATGTGAAGCTATGAAGAAGTAAATACTTATGTCATTACGATTGGTACTATAATATAGTGACATGAAGAAAAGGATTGAATCACTGAATTAACAAAGCAGAGTTTCTTATACCTGTAAATTCCATATCAGAATATGAGCAAATACATCACTCCGTTGGGTGGCTCTCAGTAAATACCCTTCCACTAATTTCTGCAAAATCATCCATTGAGCAGAAAGAGTTATTCATGTATAGCAAGTTTTTTAATAGCATGGTATGTTTATTTAAATAATATGGCACAAGGATTCTCAAATGAAGCCAATTTTGATGTATTGGTTTTAAATATCTATTCCATACATCAATTGCACATTCAAATAGCTGAAAAGGAAGGATGAAAATAGACTAGAAACCTCTTCATCATATCTTAATGCCTGCACCAGTTGAGGCATGAAGAACGTCACACAGTCCGGAGGATAAGATTCCAGCACCCTAAGAACGTAAGCCATCACACGAGGATGTCCCTTATATGGAGGTGTAAGGAACTCCAAAGCCATTGTGATTGAACAGGAAGCCCAGTGCGGCAATTGTTGCAAAAGTGCAGAATTTTCGTCGATGGCTTTCGGAGTGACAAAGTACGGCAATGCTTCAGGTATGCTACGAATCTCCACTATGTGTGACTGGAACAACATATTAGTTCAAAATGAAAAAACTTCGTCACATTAAAATGAACAGGACAGTGAAGAAAGCTAATTAAATGAAGATCAATTTTATCCAAAAGAGCAGCTACAAGTAGCCGGTGTTTAATTAAGGGCTTGTTTGGATGGAGTGTTTGGAAGTGTTAGTAATGGAAGTGTTAGTAAGTGTTAGTAAGGGCTCGGAAGGGAAGGGAAGTGTAAGTGTTAGACATAATTTTACCTTGTTTGGGAGAGTTAAATGAATGAGTGTTAATAATGGAAGTGTTAAAGAAAGAGTAAAGAAAGAGTAAAGAGAAGAGATGAAAAAACAAACCATCAGACCCGTGGGAAAGACATTCGAAGTGAAATGTCGAAGCATTTTATGTTTTTCGGGCAAATGAGAAGGGTAATAATTGTCCAACACCTCAAAACACTCCAAATCAGGGTGTTAAAAAAATGGACAATTGAGGTGTTGGGAAGGTTATTATTAACACTTCCTAACCATTACTAACACTTCTTAACACCTCTGGTTTTTTCTCCCAAACAACTGTTAGCATCAACACTTACTAACACTTCCATTACTAACACTCCTCAACACTCAATCCAAACAGGCCGTAAAACAGCAAAACAAACAAGCCCATTAATCTACACTGTATTGAGCGGATTGACCATTGTTGCGGATGGTCTTGGTTATAATAAATATGAAACCAACCGGTTTGGTGTGAGAGGATTTAGGTTTCAGTTTCAAACCAAATGACCAAAATAGAAATAGAAACAATAACAACAACAATAATAACATCAACGATAATGATGCTAATTGTTCTTCAATTGAAGTAATTCATCTCTTATTTCATAGGGGTTACTTATGCACTGAACATGTAGTGTAGGCCAATTCAGCTCCCAGTATTTCTTTGGGTATGGGACTGCAGTTGATCAGTTTCCAAATCTACATTTTAAAAATTTAATTTTTTGTCCTTTTGAATGTAAGCTTCCAAGTAAATTGCGCGTTTGAAAAAGAAGTCATATTCAAAACTTTGTTTTATTTAAGCTATAACTTGAGAAGATGGAGTACACTACTGAGTTGAAGAACATCATTAAGAGAATGAAAAAAGATGAAGAACTGGATAGTTGAAGCAACTTTGCTGGTGTATTTGAACTTATGAATGGTTTATTAGTGTGAAGTTTTTTGTTCTTCATTGTGAAGTTGTCAAATTAAACTAAGATTATAACATCATTCTATTAAAGCTTAAACTGATTACAAAATATGGTTCCAGGGTATCTATCAGACTGCAGTAAACAAAACAACCCATATCGAAATTATGGTGTGGATTGGTGCAGATTGGCTTTGAAATAACCAGACGGTTGTTTCGTAACAACCAAACCGACATTACAGAAATCACACCGTGAATACCCTTGGTATCAAGTGTGATATATGGTTTGCATGAAAGGATGAGTCTGGTAAAAAATCTAATGATAAAATAGAGTAAAGCAGGAAGCTGAAAATGTCAAATGATGAACTAACTCATCTAAATTTCACTACTGCAGTTTATGGAAAAACTGAAGGCAACATTTGTGTTTATCACGCCTAAATGCAAAATGAAAATACTCATTTTTAAGCCCATATTGTTGGAGGTGCATACCTGAACCAATTGGGTCAATTCACCTCTCAGAGCATTATTAGTGGGAAACCTTGAAGCAAGTCCAAAAGCTATCCGAGGTTCAACAGAAAAGGCAGTTTTAGTGTACTCAACCATTTTCTCTGAGCTAATTTTAGGCCGCAAAGTACTTTCTCTGATATGTCACAAATACTTGATTAAACGTCTTACCATAACAAAGTCTGAACATAAACGTAAAATTAGACCATGGTTTACTTAGCAACAGGGTGTGCCCAAACATCAAGCCTATCAGCCTCATGTTGGCATAGCATCAAAAGTAACTGCTTCCGTTTATCTCTTCCAGCTGCATAATTCTCAATCTTACCCCAAACTGGGTGATATTGATCTTTCTGCATAAAAACTACAAACAACTTGAAATGTGCACAATTTAACTCAAGCAATGCTCGCAATACCTCTGTAGGTTTAAACAATAAAGAGCCAGAAAAAAACATTTCCTGACATGTTATGCTTGTCAGGAAATTTCTGAGATCTTAGAGCATTTGATATAGCATAGATTTAAGTGAAGTGTTGTATTCCATGTCAATCCTATTCTACAACAATGAAATTACCATATCATTCAAAGAGCTTCCATTTTGAGGTTTATCACCCTTCGTATCAAGTAGATTATCTGATGGATCTTCTAAAAGATGATGGACGAACACGGAAACAGATTGAGCCTCACTCAAGGCGAAATTATTATTTCTCATGTCATACCAGTCAGGTTTACGAGCAAACCAACCCAATGCAGCCCTAAAATCAGCAAAAGAAATAACTCAAATCTGCTACATATCACCAAATGTGAAAGTTATCAATCTTAATAAAGCCTCATTGGCACAAAAACTACAAAATTATGAACTAACAATCAGTATGATTGACTGCTAAAGGAGGTTTTACTACAAAGCTTAAACAGTGAAGAGAATAAGAAATCAAATGATAAGAAGTAGGATTGCAAAGACAGATGTGTTGTAAATTTGATGCATGTTTCAAGTCTCATTTCCCTCACTAACAAAAAGCTTCCCCCATGTCACAAAATAAGCAACGATTCATACAAATTGAAATTTAATAAAAAAGAAAGCACGTATGAAGTATAGATGTGGCTACATGTCCAGGTACGGGAAAAGTAACATTTTAAGATATGAGACATGAGTATGGTGGGGCAGGGTAATCCTAGCTCAAAAAAGGTAAACTCTTTGAAAGTATGAACAAATGAGTTGTTATGTGGTCTCATATTCTCCCTAAATAACTATTGTTATCCTCTCATGGGGGAAGCTGTTTCATTTCATTAAAGGTTTGATTGTCAAATTTTAAAGCTATTCATCATTATTGCTTTATATACTACAACAACAACATCAAAGCCTTAGCCCCCAATAGAATTTAGGGTTGGCTAACATAAATCGACATATGAAATCGGAGCTAAAAGATAAAAGAAAAAATGATTTATATACAATCTTCAGAATTTTATCTTTACAATTTATTATTTTATTTTCCTTTCCATCATTTGCAATGGAGCCAAAGTTTACCTATTTTTGGCTTGAGAATATGATGGAATAAAGCAAAACGGTCCTCTAACTGTCTGCGCTTCTTTGTTATGAAGCAGCGGTCAGTCCATGCAATTTTCGACGCGATTTTCACCACGGGTCATCCGGAAACAGTCCCCTGTGCTTTAGTACAGGGGTAAGGCTGCGTACATCCGACCCCCCCTTACCCCAGCATAGGTGAGAGCCTTTGCGGCACTGGGATAATGATGATAATGATAATATATATAAAAAAATTATTGTTTTATTTTCATTGACTTCAATGACTTGTCTGTTTAAATTGATTTTGTCAAAGTTTCAACCACTCATACAAAATTAAGTGTTTATTTGATAAAAAAGACTATTAGAAAAAGGGACACATTATAGGCATGTATGTATGTGCTCCGGTGTGTCCCACACACATGCTTCACCTGTTCGGCTGTTTGGACTTCGGAGGTGTATGTGCTTCATATGACAACACTAAAACTGAATTTATGTTTTTAAACATAGTAGGGATTTATTTTCTCAGATCATGAGAAAGATTAAGAAATTCAATTACATCCTAAGTCATATGGTCTGGTTGCACAGAAGCACTTTAACTTTGTCAAGTAAATCATAAACTGAGCATCTGGTATGAAAGATGTTGTCAAGAGCCAATGCTTTTGATGAGAGCAGAAAATAACAATCAACGGTAAATTCCGTTGCCCAAGCTAAACAGCTAAAACCAATATTATTAATGTCTGCTTTGAATAAGCCTAGACAGGGGTTTATATAACCCTTACATCCAAAACTGAATAGGAAACTAAATCCTAGTAAGAAACATAATAGGAGTCCTAATTAAATCATAATAGGAAACTAAATAAAATAGAAAACCTCTTATCCTAATTAAAATAAACTAGGAAACTAGATAAAATAGGAAGCCTCTAATTCTAATAAGAATAGAAGTCCTAAATAAACCATAAAATAAATTAGGAAACATAATAAAAAGAATAATTAAAATATCTGGAACCAGCCCACGAAGGTGGGCTCAAGCCCGTCCCCGCCTACGGTAGACCAACAATGGTCTGGGGCTCGGATCTGCTTCCTGCGCCCCTCCCTGCTCTCTATCAACTTTTCAGAATGCAAAGGGAGTAGGATCTACCTGTAAATCCTGTCTTCCAGTAGTTGAAGCCCAGCCCTGAAATTCCGCAGACTACCTTGATATTTATAAGAGCAAAATTTTAGCCCTAAAAGCATGAGAGTGAAAAAGGTTCCAGTTGCAGATGGATGACGTGAAAAGCTCCAGGGTAGCTTTGTGGTTCCCTGCAGCAATCGACCAAGTAATAGAAGTTGCTCGACACTATCATGGCGAACCACCTGCAGTCATAAACAAAAACGATGGTGTGGTAAGGTGACATAAAGTGCATTTTGAATAACCAGTTGTTGGTAAGCAGATCGAAAGCAACAAAATCTTTCAAATTGTTATCATTAACTTAGCAAGAGTTAATAAATAGGGTAATTCCCAAAAAACTAAAATAGAAATGAAATATTTGAAACATCAAGTTTATGCTGAATATCTCAAACAATGATGGTAGTTTGGTTCATGCAAAATAGTGCCTAAGGGAATGAAAATGAACAGAATCATTGGAGTTGTTATTTTTAGGGTATTCTACACTATAAAATAGATCACTTGAATACCATGACTTCACTACAAACATGAGTTACTGTGATCAAAAGCTATATATAGATAACCTCAAAGCGGTCCATAAAATATCCAAGCCATAGTCTGTGGGCCATTATTTGTTCAACATGATCCTTTACAGGAAGATATTCTGGCTCCCCATGATCCAGATGAGGCCTTAATTTAGCAGCAGGACTAGAAGCTTGTGCTTCAGATGAAAACAGACCTCGTCTAGTATCAACTGTCCACAACCATGCATCAACTAATTCAGAAAGGATAAGAGGACCATATTGAGGAGCAGCCGAAACCAGCCACGTCCAAGTAAAAATACCAGTCTCCATTGCATCAGGTGTTAAGATATAAGCTGGGCACCAGCAAAGAAGACGCAGAAGTTTTGAAAAGCTCTCAATATTTGCTTTTCTGTCTGATCCCTGAAAAAGCAATGTTCCATCAATTTCAACAGTAGCAACGAGAAAATTATTTCTTATTCTTCAATGAAAAAAGAATCCAAAAGTAAACACAATGTTAATCTTAAAATTACCAGATCTGAAAGAAGCAAAGCGGTAGCTTGAGAGCATGTTTCTCGGAATGATGATTTATCTACCACATCACCTTTCTCTGCTATGTTAACAAATTTCTGGAGTAAACGTACAAATCTTGAAAGCAAAACTTCACAAAAAGAGCCATTTTTGGACTGTGGGTTCTGAGAGAGAGATTTCAATCCCAAGGCTGCAACCTCTCCATTTCCAACTGTGGGAATAGAATCCACTCCACCAATGGTGTCATATAAACGTCTCATGCCTGCAATTTCTCCAGCATGGTTACACTTCACAGTAGCACTAACAATACCCGTACTTAGTACCTCCAAGTTAAATGCTTCTGTCAATTTCAAATTGGCACCAGAAGCTGCAGCTGCTGCAGCCATGACTGCCGGAATATTTGCAGTCTTTGTGCCAGACCAACAATCATTTTTACCCGTACCGATCTTGATCTCAGATAAAAGTGAAACAACATCTGTAGTAGGCTGTGCTTTCTGCAAGGTGTTTGCGGTGCACAGCCTCTCCTGAAGAAGGCCCTGACTAGTGCATGGAGCATATGATAGAGAAACAATTATCCATTCCCGAACCGTCTTTTGGCATAAAGAGCGAATAGTTGCAACCCAAGCAGGATCATTGACGAGAGCTGAAGAAGGATCATTCTGAACTGAGAGTAGTAGTGAATCCAGACAAGAAGAGTTCCACAAAATCTGCATGTGTATAAACATTATGTGCAAGTGATTAGCATCCAAAGGAAAAAATGAAGTACTTAGCATATTAAAAAGTGGAAGCAGTGATGGGATTGAACCTGAGGGAATCGGTCTCTAAGTTGATTCAACAAATTGACTGAGATATCTCGCACATGCTCATCCCTCTGACTTAAATTTTTTATTAGAAAGCATGCATGAATAGATAGAGTAGTTTCTCTAGTCTTAGAATCATGCCCAGTCCCAGATGTTTGGTCCTCCTGCAGCATAAGCAAATAAATAACTTGCAGTAATAAAGAAAATTACCAAGGCTATGATGAAAAGAAGTTATGTTTCCCACTATATGACTATTATGTTTTTTCCTAATGTGATAGTGTTTCATATGCATATTAATACCTCTCTACTCTTATGAGCCACTATTGAGTGTCTTAATTAGTAATACACCACTAATGACCACATGGCTTTTAAGTCCATAGTCACATATTTGGAATCTATCATTTGTTTAGTCATATTTAGGTGTTTTTCCGACTAAATTAATACACAATTACAAAAATTCGTGGACTTTGAAAATTTTGAGGTAGGCTTAATTTCCAAACGTAAATGCCAGTGCCAGCACTGATTCCTAACAATTGCAATGTTTTTAGGCATCGAAAGAAACAGCATGATATTTCATTTGCCCCCATCAATATGTAATTGCAATGTTTTTAGGCATTGAAAATGGTCTACACTCTACAAAAACAAAATGAGAATTTACCCAAAATAGGACTAAAAAGGTTTGGAAATTCCAAAATAGGACTGACATGTTTTTATTTCCAAAATAGGACTAATTACTGCCATGTTTTGGCAGTACCAGACTTCAAACATGACAGTATTTTCCAAACTTGGCAGTAATTACTCCTATTTTGAAAATAAAAAACATGGCGGTCCTATTTTGGAATTTTCAAACTATTTTAGTCCTATTTCGGGAACTTTCCCAAACAAAATGCAGTAAGAACCTAAAAAGCTTAGCAATATTATACACAAATATGTGCGAGTGTGTGTATCTCTTTCCAATAATAATATTTAAAAATTATTTTTTTAAAAAAATCTAAAGTGCAACAAGGTTCAGACACATTTTGGCACAAGCCGAATTGGCATAGCACACGAAATGAATAAAAGGAACTGTATGAAATGGGTATTGAGCTAGCAAGGTGTGACATGGAAAGTGGGAAGTGCAGTTAGAAACATAAAGATCTTGGGTGGTTTTAAAATTTTGGGGCATAATCAAATTATCCATGGGTATATATTTGATGTCTAGTCTTCTTCAAAAACATAAGGTATAAAATGATAGGAAAGCTGAAGCTCAAGCCCCAAAAAAACTTTTTTGCATCTTTCAGCAAATGTGTCAAAGGGGTTAGACCTGGAATGCAACCTAAAAAGGTGCAAGCACATGCAACGGCACACACTTAATAACAAAGTACTAGTATTACAGAAGCTTAGAACTCATATGGACTAATAGATACCAGCCACCCTAATGCAGTTTCAAAAGCTCTGTGTACAATTGCTACCAAGCACTGGGAAACTGCTGGCATAAGATTAGGACTTTTCAAATACTCAAAAACACAGCTGAAAGAACTTCGAGAAGCGGTTGAATTAGGGTGCACATTCAGGATTCCGCCATTGCTACTAAATCGTATTATCTCTAAAAATGCCACCGCAAGTAGATAAGTTGTCTTCACGCCTACATAGGCAACATAAGAATCATAAAGAATCTGAACATGCAAGTATATTTATTATAAAAGAAATTTGTAGTATAGCATTTTGACACATAACTTGAAATTGAAATAACCTGAAATGGTGCTTAATGCTGAAACATCTACACGACCTCCTAATGCAGCAGAAAGAGCAGCCCTCTGGCTAAGAGCATCTTTCTCATTTCCAGTTCCTCTTCGGCTATTTGGGTTGTGAAGAGCATTGAGCTCCAACTCATCTTCAAGCCATTTCACAGAGCTCACAACCTGACAGAAAGTATCTCAGTCTCAAAATACCAAAATAGATGTTAATTGAAGCTTCTATTTCCACAAAAAGGAAACAAAAATCAATGGATTGAAATAAATAATAGGACATAACTCATTTGGTTTGTGAGTTTTCCTCTCTCCTCATCTGCAATGGTTTCTGTTTCTCAGAATGAGGAATCCTTCTTTTGAACATTGATTTAATTACACCTAGGCAGGTTCAAAGTACATCTAAACAAGCACTTTTTGAGTTCTTGTAAATAGTTTGTATAGGTGAGAGATAGGACAAGCATGGATAAACTTTGTTAATAAATGTCAGTGCAAGAATTGTCCGCATTCTAGCATACTAGCAAGAAGGGATTTTTCTGATCCTATTAATCTGATCCTAACAAGTTTAGATGGTTTCTTTAACTTGAGAATATTTTTAATTATAGTAGAATGTGTGGTACTAACCATCTCTTAAATTGTGATACATATACCAAAAAGAGAGAAGAACCTAAGAAAAATCAAAGAAACCACAATGACAGCAACAGAAAAACCATAACATTTACTTTTTTTTACAGTAAGATAGTTGAATCATACATTGATGATAGATAGCATTCTATTCCATTGTTCCAAAAAGAAAATTTAGAAAAGTAACATTTGAAGTCTCATGCAGTTTAACTTACAAGTGGTGGGGTCCCATGTGAAATGCACTGTACAGCAAAAGACCACTGAGCATTCCCATCTGATCCAGCCACTTCTTGAAGTACAGTTGCTCCCGTAATTCCAACGCTGTTTTGAGCAGTGTACACAGATTTTGTAGTAGTCTGATTTTTCGTTACTGGAGGAGCTAAACCAAAGAGAGCAATGTAGAACCACAAATTCCTAAACAACTTTAGAAGTGAGGGTTCAATATCTGAAGTGGGATCAAAGTCAGAACACATTTCCGCTACAGCAGGAAGTAAAGGCCCAAGACAATCTGCTCCGCTCCTATACAAGATAACTTTCCTTAGCTTCTTAATAAAAAATTTTAAATCATTCTTCACCAAGAGATTCTTACCTTCCATTTTTTGACTCACAAGCTAACCCCACATCTGAGCATAATGATAGCAAACGGTGGCGATAATCTGTCCGCAACTTGGGGTTGGTGAGACCACTTGCAATCTGAAGAAATCCTGCAGGAAGAGTCTAGAATGTGATTGCACATGTAAGCACCCGCATAATACCAAAAACCTCTTAAATTATCTGAATGAGTAATAACGTGAATATCAAAGGAGACATACTTCTATACGTTCTTTTGTGGCTTCTTCAGGTAAATCTTTACTTTCAGCTGAGTCGATAGAAGCAAGTTTACTCATATAGCTGCGTGTCATCAGAACAATAGCTTCACGGTAGGACTTTTCAAAGCCTAAACTCGCCATACGAGAGACAGCATCAAGAAGCTGCAGTAACTCAATAAGTAAATTTCAAGATAATGGAAAAATTAAACAAATAACTAAAAATTAAAATAATGAAATCAATATAAAAATAAATAATTGAGGCAGATGTTACCCATTGCTAGATTGCTAGACAATTAAAATTATAGTGTACTAAATTGCAGATGATAAGATATAGTACTTGGAGCCTTAGGAATCCTGGCATTGAAGCTTTGCCCTCTTCTAAACTTTCAACAAACAATGGTAAAATCATGTCTACGACTTCAGGCTTTTTAACTGAGACGTTGATCTTAGCTAGTAGCCGTATAACATTTAGTTGAACAGCAGGAGCTGCCTGTTTCTCCTTCTCTTGCTGATAATATAGTCATATATAAGGAACAACAAGCATAAGAAAGAAGAAATTACAAGTAATGCCCAAGCAAATATCAGGAAATATTGTTCCAATACAAATCTTTAATGTAAACCAATCAGGCCTTGGACAGACAACACAATAGTCAATAATCGTGCACATGACTACATGAGCAGCCTTCCTCATACCCTTTTCCCACATACTTAAAAAAATGTCTGTATTCCTCAGTAGCTCAAAAAAATCCAATGTAAAGTTTAAGAATATAACAAAAGGGAGGGGAAAAATATGTAATAAGTACCTCTTTGGGAGTTAAGATACCACACTATTCTAAAGACCCCTACCTTGAGTATAAAGGGAGGAAATGGATTCTAAATTCAAAGCAAATACATATTTTTGTCTTCCTTTAAATATCATGCTACCTCTTCATCGTAGTCGTTCCTTTCCCGAATACATGTAGCTAAGCCCAATATGAATGTTTCCACAGGAGACCGGTCCTTTTCCCAGCCAAATTCAATTATCTCACAGCTTGTCTTTATGACACTCTCAAACATGGCCTCCTGGCTGCTGCTCCAAGTGTCAGCCTATAGGTAAAGACAGTAAAGGTAAAGTTTTACTATGGATGTGCAATAAATAATGAAGAGAGCTTCAATCAAATAATATCATACTCTGGCACATGTAGCAAGCACAAGAGGTTTAAACCGAATTAACAAAACACGGAGTAGTTGACCACTGCGAGCAGTAGCAGCTTGGGAGATTCCAAAAAGCAGAGAGCTGAACAGCTCTTCACAAGCTCTTAACTTTCTCCATATTGACAGCAAGCATGCTTCAGCCGCCTCAATCAAGAGTGCAAGTGCTCCATGCAGCAACCTCTTTGATGACTTTCCATCAGAATCAAGAGATGGAAGGGTCTTAATCTGTAGCCATAAAGCTGCTTGATAAACTGAGAGCTTCGTATTGATCCTAACTTTCAGATATTGTCCTTGATCTGACCAATCACTTTTCCGTATCTGCATCAAACCAGTGAATCAAGGAGCTCTTAAAAAATATTGCTTCTTTCGTTCACAAAGATTTCAATTTTAAAAAAAAAAGCAATAGATAATTCTTCAACTCAACCTTTAGAAATGACACCATTGCTTGCAGTTGATCCCTGACAATACCTCTCACTTGTTCCAAAAGTGTGGCGTCAATTGGCACTTTATCCATTATGTGCCCTATCAATCTAAAAGCCACTTCTCGTTTCTCAAGGCTCACCATAGGCTCCTCCTCCAAAGAAGAGGTGGTTTGTCTAGGGGCTGTGGTTCTTCCTCCATCATCAACATCGCCCATATTTGAAGTCAATAATTCCACATTGCTCTTCCAGACACCACTGCTTCCATTGCTACCAGCTGCCTCTCTTGGAGATCTTGGGACTGGGATCTCAAACCTCTCAATCAGAGTGGAAATTAACTTATCTGCATCCAAGGGGACTATAGGAGGAAAGTTCCCAACAATGGAATCCAAGAAAGTCTTTGATATCCTTGTGTCTCCGCTCAAGTTGGCTACTGCTGATGTCACTATATCCCCTGTGTATCGCCCAACATCTGTAGCAAGATCCGGAGACATTTCTGATGCTTTGCAGAGATACCCTAAAAAATCGTCAAAAAAGGAAGCAATTGCATCGTCTCGGAAAGAAGGCGGCCAAAACGACCGGATAAAAGAAGAAGGAATGGAGCGATAGAAGGCTATGGCGAGGGATTTCGGCCTTTCATCTTCGCAATTGGAGCACCTAGAGAGGAAACGAGTTACAGCGAGAACGGCATTCAGCCGGGGCCTTGAAACGCAGGGAGAACCAACGAGAAGTTCCTCCGCCGATGGACACCTGCTACAAATCCAAACTAATTTCTTCTCGAATTGAATGGGGTTCTCGGCGATGAGATCACATAGCTCCATCAACGACTCCATTCTCAACGACCATCCACGTCAAGGCGACAAAACATGAAAAACTGAAGGGAGAAATGTAGAAGTTTCATAACATGATCATCGGTTCCAATGACAATGTCCGTATAACCTCCACCAATGCAGATCAAATGTATGCGTAAAAGTTACAGAGAAATTCTAGTGGAGCTAGCGCCTGAGAGTGGGGCGGCCTGAATCATTCGTCATTTCGTTGCTGTTCGGCTGTTTGCGCGCTGATGACACGACACATTGCGCGCCTTCGTCAATCCCTTTTGTTACCGGAACTCCCAATTTGTAACGGTTTTCTTCACTCTTATTAGGAGTTATTATTAAAATTTTATTGAGCATTATTATTATTGCTATTAAGGTGACACATACAAATCAATTTATAAAACTTTACTCTATGTATATTCATGGAGTAGTATAACTTATCTAAATCCGATATACGAAGTAATAAAAGTTAAAGTGTAGCAATAATATTATGGATTTCAAATTCTCGAAATTACATTCTCTTTTCCTTGTTCTACCATTACTTAATTTTAATAAGAAAATCATATTTAAAACATAATAATAAATAAAAATAAAAAATATGCTAGCTTTTGTCACCACCTGTCACCATTTTTGTCGCCGACCACCATTCTCATCTTCATGACATTTTCAGGAAAAAAAAGTTGATGTTTTCCGACATATTCAAAGAGTAATAATGTCATATTCATGACACTTTCAGAGTAAAATGACATTCTTAATGCAGGATGGTGTTGTTCAGGCAATAATGGTGTTAGAAGGCAGGCTTATCAAATTGTTGCCTTTGAGCAAATTGTAATACAAGAGTGTCATTAGATCTTTCATGTGAGTTGGTTTTTATTTGATTTTCTTCCTTTTACGTGATATTCCTCTTACCTTTCGATTTACTCTAAAATCAATTTGATATGTCCGTCTATTGCGCCCACCAATGGTTTTTTTTATAGCACCCTCATTTATTAATGACTCTACTTTTTGTCAATATATTTTAGTAGCAAGTATAACGATGTTGTTAGATTAGCCTACCATAATGTGAGGTTAGCGAACTTGTCGGGTCCTTAGGGGCTGGTCAGTTCTATGTCTCACCCAATGGTAGTTGTCCAGCCACCAGCAAGGGAGAAGAGGTTTGATCAATTACCTTCAAAGACGACATTCCAATTTTACTGGGAAGGGAGAAGAAGTTTGTTCACCCACCTCCAAAGGAAACATCCCGATTTGACCGGCTACCCTTCAAAGGGATCATCTTGTCTATCAGTATTTTGGGCGGTGTTGTTCCAGGAGCACCGTCACCTTGCTGTTTTTTGACTCCTTCAAGGCACCTAACTCAAACACTAGACCATTGCTCTCTTCATCCTCAATTGGCATCCTTCCATAAAGTGATTTAAGCTCTCCATTAATGGCAACAAAATGAACACTCGATCCAAGACAGAGAAAAAGAAATGGTGGGACACACGATCACAAGCCCAAACACGTTCACAATCGGAACGGTCCAAGTGTCCAACTCTCGGCCAGAGAAATCTCAGCCGGACAGAACAACACAAAAAAAACTAATAATGAAGAAGAATGACCGAAGCACACATAAATTACCAAAGCCCAAAAAGTTGCTCCAAAGTCCAAATCTTCTCGGTCGCACTCTCCGCCGCACCAACGATATTTGTTTTTTGGACAATTCTTTCTAACCTGGTACAGTATCTGTTCAACGTTAAGACCAACATCCTTGAATTGAGATGAGATTCGAACATGTGACCTCCTCCTTGGGAGTGTCACAGTGATGCCTCAGACCACAAGGTACTTGGCGCCGCACCAACGATATTAAACACCACATAGACATATACGATTAGGCATGGACCGGTCCCGGGCGGGGCCGGTCCTGGGCGGGATTTTTGGGTTTGGCTTCGGGCCCGGAACCGTACCGGCCCGGGTTTCCACCGGGTCCGGGCCGGTCCCCGGGCTTCTTCATTTTTTTGCTTTTCTAATTAACCCCCCCCCCCCCCCCCACCCAAACACCCGGGAAAAAACAAAAAACAAGTTGAAAAAAAAAAGGCCCGAACCGGGCCCGACCGGGCCGGTTCCTATTTTGGGTGACCCGAGCCCAACCCGTATAACCCCCGGGCCGGGCCTACCCGGACCGGTCGCTGGCCGGGCCGGGCTGGGCCACGGGCCCGGAACCGGTCCACCACTATATACGATGCTTAACAAATTACTCCTTATAATTAAAACCTTATAAAATGATAATAAGCCTCTGCAATGACTAACTATTTAGCCAATATGATAAGGTACAACGTTTAAAAAGTGACGCAGCTCAACATTACTAGCTCTAAAATTCTAAATTATGCAATTTTATATTAGTAATGCCAGAATTTTGTAATTATTATTGTTATTATTAAAAGTAAATGATATGTATACGTTTAGATAAAATATTGTTGTAAGACTTATAACTACGAAACATATATCATAATATCAACTTAAGACTGTTAAGAGTTTGATTTATTGAGAATAATTTTTATTCTTAAAGCTAAAATATTGCATCGATAACTTTTATTCTTATTGAGACGGTAATTTAGTTCACAGTTCACACTAAGCTAAAATAATACTCCGTACTACGTATAAGATGAGGGAGTGTCTCATTTTCAATATCATGCTGCTATTTTATTTTATTTTTGCTAAGAATTATTTATTGGGTTTTTTAAAACATGACTGCATGAATGATAAAGTAAAGGGAAAACTGTCAAATAGGTCCTCGAACTTTCATAAAAAAGTCAATTAAGTCCTATAGGAGGTTCTGTCCGGCCGTCTCGATTTGGGGCAGTTACCGGTGGAATTTTTTGATTAAATTTTTTGAGCATCTTATTCATCAAGTCTAGTTTACTCATACCAAATTTTAGCTAAAAATTCAATCGGGAACACATTCAAATTAATTCTTGAAGATAATTGCGCATTTTTGTGTTCTCGAATTAATTTGAATGCACTCCCGATTAAATTTTTAGCTTAAATTTGGTATGAGTAAACTAAACTTGATGAATAAGATGCTCAAAAAATTTATAAAAAATTCCACCGGGAACCGCCCCAAATCGCGACGACCGGACATAGTCTCCCATAGGACTTAATTGACTTTTTTATGAAAGTTCGAGGACTTATTTGATAGTTTTCCCTAAAGTAAACAATAAAGCCAACAGATTCGTAAGTAAAAATGCTAGGGAGGGAAAAAACGTTTTTTCAATAATAAGAAATTGAACAACTAAATCAACACATGTAAACATAATACATGTTCTCTTACTTTCCAGATCAATTATAATACCTTCAGAAATTAGAATAATGTAAACATGATAATACACATTACCAATAATACCTGTTCTCTTACTTTCATGTTTTTCTATTGTACATAGATTATAGATACTACCAGTAAAGAAAACACAAGTCTTTTAACCCACATGGAGCTTTGAAAGTTTGAAGAAGTTGAACTATTTTTTGGCATTAAAAGGTAAAACTTGAAGACCTCCATATCAAGCCTGCACACATCAACTGATAATCAGACCTTTAATATTCAGTTTCCAATATCCCATCAATAAGACCGAACTCCATAGCCTGCAATGTGATGGTCAAGCAAGCAAATGGAAAAGTTAGTAATGCTATTGGTGTAAGCTCGATTCACATTCAGATATTATGAAATGTTCTAAGTTAACACATCAACTTTTCACTAATATAAGAAAAAAGCACAAAAACACCAAGTCCACTTGGCCGTATGCTGTAAGACTGAAATGACTAAAGTTGCTGAAAAGTGAAAATGTGACTAAATTGCTGAATTTGCTGAATTATCACACAATAGTGTTCGTTCAAATTTATTTTATTGACAATAATAATAATGAAAAAGGCTTGCCTAAAGCGGTAAAATTGTCATTTTCATTCATTTCAGCGACTTCAACAAAAAAGTACTTTTTTGCATTGCTTTTTTCCATTATCAACCAATTCAGCCCGGGCAGTGAACCCAGTGCATCTTTTGTATAAAAAAAATAGTTGATAAGGGAACATGCAAAAATATTTGGCATGTAGTAATGTTACCTCTGAAGCAGATAAAAAACAATCTCTTTCAGTGTACAATTGAACTTTCTCAAGTGGTTGGCCAGTAAATGCAACATACATTTGGTCAAGTTTCTGTGACAGAAGAGAAGTGTGAGTCAAAACACACAGAAGAGAAGTGTTCACTATAAGCAGAACAGATTCCTATACCAAGACCATAGGTACATGATTGAAGTATTAAAATATCAGTAATTTCTTCAGTTCACATTTTCATATCAATATGGAAGCCGAATACTTCCTCCGCTCTTAAAATAATTGCAATGCTTTCCTTTTTCGGCAATTTCAAAATATTTGCAAGTTGCAACACTACTAAATTTATGTACAATAGGATAACTAAAATAACTATTATACTCTCACACACATTTAACTCCCAAATAATATCACCAACTTCACCGACCCAATTCCCAACCTGAGTCTTTCAGGTCGCCCCCACCCTTTCATCTTTCTCCATTTCTTCCATCCAATAGGCGAGTCTCTTTCTATTCCACCCCCTCTGCTTTTTTTTTTTCTCACTTCTTTTCTCTGCCATCTTCTTCTCCATCATTTCTTCTTTCATTAATTTGAAGTTTCAGCCAACAATCCCAAATCACAATTACATTTATTTGTTTGCTCTGTTACTCCCGTCAAAATCTGACCAGTTGACAAATCTTTGAAAGATGGATTTCCAGAGGAGCTCTCACCTTTGATAGATCGAGATATGGAGAATAGTTAAATCACCAATCAAGATTATAGAGAAGCTAGATTTAAAAAAGCAGTAATGAAGTAACTCTTGAGTGAGATTCCAATAATAGAGTTAAAGACACCAAGAGAATTACAAATAATTGTGAAATCGGAAAAGCTTTACAGAGATGTTACAAAAAAGAAAAAGGAAAATGCAAGAAATTGAGAATTTGAGATTATAATAAAAGAATCCATGGAAAAGAAGGAAATGGAAGAGGATGCACTTTGGTTGTCAGAAAGTTTTTGAGCAGCGCTTCAAGTGGATGAGAATGGAGAGCAGGTAAATGAGGGTAAAATAGGAAGAAAAAAACTTTACCGAAATTTCTTAAGATGGTGTGCCTTTCAATGTTGCATCTATTAGGGAACCGAGATAGTATACGCTTAGAAGCTAAAAGGACCCAATTATCCAATTGAAAGATATTTTTCTCAGAAACAAAGATGATTAACTATGTGATTGCCCAGAGCAAACATTTAGTCAGAATGCGCAACATTCTTTAATAGACACACGGTGAGAGATACTCAATTTGACTTTTCCAAATTCAAAACATGAAAAAACAGACATCCAGTGTAAGCCTGTAAGGTATAACACTAAAAGTAATGCTACAGTCTAAAGTGATAAATGAACTGACATGACGAGATAGAACGGCTTCCTTCACTTGGCGCCTCACATCCTCCACGTGACCCTGTAACAGTAAAAACCACAGTCAGCAGAGCAGGCATCTGCTGATTTCAAAACCTAACTTTTATACTTCTTCAGAACCAAAACTTTTTTAATTTTTGGCAAATTTCTATGTCCCAAAACAATTTCCATTTTAGCCAACTTTCTTTGTCCCAAAACAACTTTCGTTTTAAGACTTTAATTCATTTTTTCACTAATATCCCAATATTGCATATATTTACTCTTCCTCATCATTATCATAATATTGAGAAGGAATGATGAGATGAAACTTATAACTTCCATGTTTCCATCCATCGTATAGATTATTTCCACATGCAAGGAAAATATCATGTGTGAGATGTTTGCTATTGTTATTTCCACTAAATAATTGACATTGCAATTTGCAAATACCAGCATATTAACTCCTAGTAGATTAAATTCTTTGTATCTAGGAAATAAGTACAACAACAACAACATTACCCCAGTGCCGCAAAAGCTCCCACCTACGATGGGGTAAGGGTGGTCGATGTACGCAGCCCCAGTACTAAAGTAAAGAGAGACTTTTTCTGAATGACCCATGATTAAAATCGCATCAAAAATTTCATGGACTAACTACTGCTTCAAAACAAAGAAGAGCACACAGTTTAGTGAGCCATTTTGCTTTATCCATCATATTCCCAAGCCAAAAAATAGTGAACCTTTGGCTCCATTGGAAATGATGAAAATATCTAGGAAAAGAGTATTAGAAGAAGGAAAAATTAGCACCCATTTGGAAATACTAAAATTGACTGAATCAGCTGAATCTACTGAAATTGATGAAATGTTGGCTGAATCGGCTGAGCTGACTGAATCACTTCAATTATGGAAAAAATTTATATAAATATATTTCATTAATAAAGTAAAGAATAAATTATATGAAAGATAGCTAAAATGATCATCTAAAGTTACTTAGTCAATTCAGCAAGAAAAGTAACTTCAACCTTACTTATTTTATTACACAATTCAACGCGCGAAAATAAAAGTTACATGTTTGGTAAAAAAACAGTTGGCTGATAAGTTGGTTTAATCTTTCACACCAATAATAACTAGATAACTAGGACATACCCCACATCCACTTTGCGGTTGATGTATCATAATACGTGCATTTGGCATTGCATACCGCATACCCTTTTCCCCACCTGCAAGAAGAAGTGTTCCTTGACTGGCAGCCACTCCAAAACAGACTGTACCAACCTTAGGCTTTATCTGAATCAAACAATAGCTACTGACATAGTTATCACGGGAGTATAACTTTCAGGGGAAGGGATTATAATCTCAGATACCACTAGCAAATCATATAGTAACCTACAGAATAATATTGAAGTACCCTTACCCAGGACATGCAGTCATATATTGCCAACACAGAATAAATGCTTCCCCCTGGGCAGTTAAGATACATCTGCAATTGGGAACGGCATGAGAATACTTTATAAGATGTTATGCTACTTCAGAAATGAGAAGTGTGTGTGTAAAAAATGTCTACCAAAATATCGGCATTTTCATCAATTGTTGCAAGCGTCACAAGTTGTGATATGACTCTTTGAGCAACTTGTGAGTTGACAGGTTGCCCAACGAAGACAATGCGATTTCTAAGCAATATGGTTGACAGGTCCATAAGGCCACCTGGTGTCGGCACTGTAGGCATCATGGTTGGATTCCCCCTTTTAGCTTCAATAGTACCATAGCTGCTAAGACAAATTAGGGAATTTATACATTTACAGGACTTTTCTAGGGCGTTCCCATGGTAATATTCAAAAAAGTGGTTTATTTTCAAATTTCACAAAAGGAGTTTATGTATTGTAGAAAGAAGTAGAAATTATGCATGCATCACCATTATCAATAATAATATACTCCATAAGAAAAAATTAGTACTAAACACTCATAATGGGATGAAAAGGAACTCACTAATTGAATCTTATAATGTGCCCTATGGGTATGCTTTAGAGAGAGAGAAAATACATTTACATGTTGACATTTTTGGGATGCTGCAACTAAACCTAAAAGATAAAGCAGATTGCCTCACAAACGTTCATCTTAAATTAAGTTTTTACCAGACTAAAATAAATGAAAACCAAGTCAAGAAATAACTAGTAGCTGATTCTTTTTCCGTAGTACATGTATAACAGGAAAGAATATGAAATTTATTACTCTCTCCGTCCCTAAAAGAACTTCCAACTTTCCCTTTTCGTCCGTCCCAAAAAGAACTTCACTTTCCCTTTTTGGCAAAGAATTTGTGGTTCACAGCAATTCTTACATTTCTTACACATTTCTCTCTCCTCTGTACAACTCTCCACCACACAATTCCCACTTTCTTAATCCGTGTGCCATTTGTACTACGGAAGAACATTTACGGACGGAGGTAGTAGAAAATACTACCTCAGTCCTTCTAACATCGAGACAAAATGGGGTGGTGCGGTTATAAAGAAAAGTGAAATTGTGTGGTTGGTATTAAATTTATAAAGTAGCCACCTAAATTTTATCAAATATGGTATGGGACAAAGTTAGTGGGAGGGACGAAAAAGGTAAAATTGGACAAAAATAGGAGGAAGGAGGGAGTTCATAATTAACAGCAACCAGACACTCAACCACGCGCATCTTTCCAAGTAGCTATAAGGCTAAAAGAAACAAACCCTTGATTGATGGCAGCATTGCTGTTGTCCTCGTCTAGCTTTAAGCGCCAGCCCTGGACACTACTGGATAGTCCTGAAGGTTTTACAAAAAAAAAAATCGCTTGTGCAAGATATTCAAGTTCAACAGATTGCAGCAATTATTTTGAGAACTATGAGCATACCGATTGTTGATGAACCAAAGTTGGGATTAGGAAGCGCGCGCACAATGTTTCCCCCTGAATTTCTAAAGAAGAAAGATTCGTAATAAGAAATTACGGAGTACTCCTTAGTATTAAGATCATTTGTAATTTTAGAGTTCAAATAGAAATAAAAAGTGAATTATAAGCTAAAAAGAACAGAGTTGCCTGCGTAGTGTTGTCTGGTTGAGTGAGGAAAACGAAACTCTTAGAGGCGTCGCAATGGCTGATGCTGCCATTTTCGACGATGGAATGAGTCGGACAAGCGGTGTTCAACAATAACGCTTCTCGGTCATTTGAAGTAAGAGCAAAGGAGATACATAGAGTTTAAAATTCTATAGTGGTTGAATAAAAAAAAAATAGCAGTCACATAATTTTTTTAAAAAAGTGAAATGAGAAAAAAAAAAATGAGACGTTCTAAAAAAATAAGAAGGAAAAATTTCAGGGATGGAGAGAGTATTTTTCAATTTTGGATTAAAAATATGAAATAAGAGTTTTCAAACAACATTTTTTACTTGAATTAATTAATTAATTAATTAATTAAACATTTCAAAGTGAGAAGCAAATTTGTGAACATTAATTAATTAATTTATTAATTAATCGAACATTTTTTAAATTCTTTTTCACTTATTTATTACACAAAAATACTTTTCTAACATACAATATATGAACTTTTACCTTTTTAAACATTTATTTTTTCACATTTTTATTGTTAAACATTTTCTCTAATTAATATAGGTATGAGTTTGATTATCAGCCCACACCAAAATTAAATCCTAGCCCAGCCCACCAAGCGTAATCCCAGTGTCCAAGTCCAACTATTCCACTAATCCACTCACCTGCTGCCTCCTGTAGTCCATAAGCGAAGAGCCGACGAGGACGCTGTGAACTGCGAACACCAGCCGACCTGCGGCCACAAGCCGCGCCGCCGGACGCCGTCGACTACTTTGCTGTCCTTCCTCTCCGTCTCTCCCCTCTGCCTGTAGCTCCGAGCTTCAGCATCTAGGCGACCAGGTATACTCTAGCTCTAAATTTCTAATACTCTTTTACACTTTTATTAATTGATTTTTTCAGGGTTATTGTGTATTATTATTGTTTTTTTTTGTTATTTTTAGGGTTAGAGAATCAATTTGATTATCAATTGAATTTCTCAGTTCATAATAATATAGTTTTTATTCATTATAAATTTATAATTATTAAAGATAGAAATAAAGATTAGAGAATGATTTATTTATTACACAATTGAAGTATATAGGTTGATTTATTTATTGTGTGGACATTTAAGAAAGAATTAATTAAAAATTTCAATTGAATTTTGAAATTGGGAATACTTATTAGTTTTATGTACAACTATTGTTTTTTCTTTTTAGTTTTATAATTTTATAGAATTATTTTAATTCATACCAATATTAGAAATGTTTTTTAGAATGGATAGTGATTAATGAACATATTGCCATAAAATTTGGAGCTGCCTCCATCTTTTTGCATTAATAGATGTAGATTCTATATTATTCATGAATTTTATACTTTGAAGTCGCGTATGGCACAACTTAATTGATGTTTTGATGAATATTAAAAGTGTTGACGACTTTATGTTCTTCAAATTTTATTTCTCTGACCATCCCATTGTAGCTTTCTGGATCCGCCCCTATATCTGACCGACGCGCGACGGCAGGAAAGTGGATGTATGTAGTCGCGGCGGAGAATCTGGAGCCCTGGAGGTTTGGACTCTAATCAACTTGTAGATGACTGAGCGGGCGGAGTGGCGGAGGAATTTTCGGCATCTGGGAAGACCGATTGTTTGTAACTGGAAACAGAAGTTGAGGGTTCTGGAATACTACTAAACCTATAGAACGATGTCGTTTCGGTTAAAATATTGAGATTCCGGGTGTTTACATGGTCCCTTCTTCGTAGCCTATATTCACTAAAAGAATTGTCATGAGGTTTGCCTCAATCTTTACCCATTTATCAGCCTCAAAGAACCCCAGTTTTCGAATTAGCAACTTCTTTCTCTTCTCCACATCTTCATGTTCACCATTGTCTGCTTCACAGCAATTCGTGACCCATTTGCAGAAAAACAGGCAGAACATAGAGAAAACCCTCAACTCAGTCAAAGCCAAATTGGATGCACCTTGTGTGACCCAAGTTCTTGAAAGGTTCTCAGTTGAGAACCCTCAAACGGGCCTGAGGTTCTTCATATGGGCTGGGCTTCACCCATCATATAGACACTCTAGGCACATGTATATCAAAGCTTGTAACTTTCTGAAGATTGACAAAAACCCTAAAGTAATCACAGATGTGTTTGAGGCTTACAGGGATGAAGATGGCTGCGGAGTCAGCGTGCAAATGTTTAGGGTCATATTTAATTTGTGCAGAGAGGCTAAAGATGCAGACTTGGGATTGATGGTGCTGAGAAAAATGAAGGAATTCAATTGCAGGGCAGACGTGATATGTTATTATGGAGTGATAAGGTTGTTGTGCGAAAAGGGAGAAATAGATGAGGCGATGGGGTTGATGAGAGAGATGGGGCTCATTGATCTTTATCCTGATATGGCCACTTACACAATGATAATCAATAAGTTGAGTGATGTGGGCAGGTTGGAAGAGGCTTGCAAGATGGTTAAGACGATGAAGGGGCAAGGCTGCTTTCCAGGAACAACGGTGTATTCTTCCCTTCTTGATGGGATTTCAAGATTTGGGGGCTTGGAGAGGGCAATGGAGTTGTTGGACGAAATGGAGAAAGAAAGCAGCGATTGCAGACCAAATGTTGTCACCTACACAACTCTGATTCAAGCGTTTGTTGAAAAAGGGTGTACGTATGAGGGAATGGCTATCCTGGATAAGATGGAGAATTTTGGATGTAAACCAAACAGAGTGTTAGTGGCTACTCTGGTTCAGGGGCTATGCAGGGATGGTGATATCAACGAGGCCCATAAGATAGTGGATCGGATTGGTGGGAATGGTGGTGGTATTTCAAATGATGAGTGTCACAGTTGTTTGGTGATTTCGTTGTTTCGGGTGGGAAGGTTCAAGGAGGCGGAGGCTGTTTTTAGTAGGATGCTGGCTTCTGGTTTGAAGCCTGACACAATCTCGTATCAGACAATGATGAAATGGCTGTGTTCTGAAAGAAGGAAGGAGCTTGATGGATATATGGCTTGAATATTGAATATCGATCTTTCTACTGCTGAATTATGATGATTTGATGAAACTAGGTGGTGAACTTGGGTAAGTTGTGCCCACCTTTCCTTTCCGTAAATGCTGATAGTGTGAACTCATCTTTAATAAGAAGCTCTTTGTTTGGTCTCGTTTGGAAATATTTTATATTCCCATTTGGTAATCAAAAGTAGCTTATTCTGCTTACCAGCAGAATAATGAGAGTGAAATAGTGTTTTCCTAATCAAATAGGCTCTATTCTTTAGTTTAGTGTTTCAATAAAACAAACAATGTAATGCATCTAGTGCTTGATGATTGTGGTTCATGGATATTTTGACATTCATTAGTCTTGGCCGAAGATACTTAAATTGCATTGCTTATGTTTGCGTAGAATAACAACCTCTTAACAACATGTTTGTTTTGCACATCAATGACCTAGTATACATTTCTTATAAACTTAGAGAGTCAAATTAAGTTTACCCATATATTTGAGAAGTCTTTTAATTCAAAGTTCAACCTACTGTCACTTTCACCTCATTTATTATGATTTAGGAAGTTTTGGTTTAGTATGGTATACTTGATAAAATGGAGTTTCTGAGCTTGGATAAAGTCAAAAAAGACTTGCGTTCCACATTCCTTGTTGCTAAAAATATTTTTGGTTCAGTATGGTATACTTTTGGAAAAGTAATGTTCACTGTTCTAAAATGTCTTGACTTAGTAAGTCATTGATGCATGTATAAAATCACATACTAATCTAACCTTTTTATGCATAATCTGAACTCCTAGCACTTTAAGTTTGAACAGTTTGGTCTTTGACATAAAACATTTTATATTTTTTTTGCCCCTTTTTTGTTAAGCATATATATTTGCGAGTGTTCTTTTATAGTAAATACAGAGTTAGATTTATTGGGAATTAGAACAAAATATATATTTCACTTTTTAGAGCACAGAAAAGTCCTTAGCGAGTTTGTTATTTAAAATTGAAGGGATTATTTTGTTCACGACCTTTACAAAGACTATACTTTAAATGGTGTCTTAAGTTCATGGTGTAAGATGCTTCATAATTATAAAAAACTGCGGAACCAACTAAATTAACACTATCACTTTCTTAACATTTGAAATCTTTGTGAATGAAAGATGCATTTTTTTAGAGCTCATTGAACGATTGATTTGTTGCAGATACGAAAAAGTGAGTGGTCAAATCAAAGACAATATCTCAAGGTTAGATCAATACAAAGCTCTCAATTGATCAATCAGATTAACGGTTACAAATTAAGACCACGAAAAGCGCGTGGTCAAATCAAAGACTAAACTAACACCATCACCTGATTCTGATAGAAAGCCATCAAAGAGGTAGCTGCATGGAGCACTTGCACTGTTGATTGATGCGGATGAAGCATGCTTCCCATCAATATGGCAAAAGGTAAGAGCTCGTGAAGAGATGTTCAGCTCTTTGCCTTTTGGAATCTCCCAAGCTGCTACTGCTCGTAGTGTTCAACTACTCTGTTGTGTTTTGTTAATTCGGTTTAAACCTCTTGTGCTTGCTACATGTGTCAGGGTATGCTATTACTCCCTCCGTCCCCGAAAAAAGTTCCTCATTTGACTTTCACACACTTTTATGCAAGTAAACTTACCAGGAGTAAATTTTTCTGTTTTGACACTGTTTCGACACTGTTTCGACACTGTTTGGCACTGTTTTGATGTAGATAACTTTCCATTTAAGGAAATGAGAACTTAAATTAGGGACATCCAAATAAAGAAAGTGAGAACTTCTTTCGTTGACGGGGGAGTATTTAATTGGAGCTGCCTTCAGTAGTAATTGCACATCTGTAGTAAAACTTTTACTCTCTCCTCACCTAGAGACCAACCCTTGGAGCAGCAGCCAGGAGGCCATGTTTGAGAGAGTCAAGTCAAGATAATTAAATTTGGCTGGGATTATTCTCCTGAGGAAACTTTCATTTTGGACTTACCTGCAAGTGCTCGGGAAAGGAGCAGCTACGATGAAGAGGTAACATGATAGACTGATAGTTGATGGGTGACAAAAATATGAACTTGTTTTGAATTTATAACCCCCCCATACTTTAGGGGTTTTAGAATAGTGCGATATCCGAACTCCCAAAAGTACTTGTAACATATGTTTTCCTCTCCTTTGTTAAATTCTTAATTTTATATTGTGATCCTCCTGAGCTTTCTGGGAATATACACATTTTAATTTAAGTACGTGGAAAGGGTAGACGGAAAGCTTGAGTCCTTAAGGCCTTGTTTGGTTCAAAGGTGGGGAGGGAAGGGGAGAGTCAATGAGGGAAGGGAAGAGGAAGGATTTTGATAAAGATTTGTGTTTGGTTGGAGGAAATAGGAGGAAAGGTTTAATGAAAATATTTTCCCAATTTACCTTTACTTGATAGTTTACTTAACAAAATAGATACATCTCTAACTATGGTGAATATTACTCCTATGGTCATGAATCATAATATTTTTTTTTTACTTTTTTAATTTTATAAATTTTTATTTTTTTTTACTTTTAATTTTTTAATTTTTAATTTTTTTAGTTTTTAAATTTTAAAATTTCAATTTTTTAATTTTTTAGTTTTTAAATTTTTTAATTTTTTGATTTTAAATTTTTAATTTATTTAATTTTTAAAATTTTAAATTTTTTGATTTTTCAAAACTTTTTATTTTTTAACTTTTATATTATAACATTTTGTCTATTCACGTAGGAGATGAATATAGTTTGTGGTTATCGACGAGTTTCATCCGAAATACCCCGATTTGGGGGGTTTAGTATGGGAGGAAGTGGAGGATTTTGGAAGCCTTCCACTTTCCTCCTCTTCCCCCCTATTTCCTTCAACCAAACACACACAAATCCCCCACTTTCCTCCCCTCCCCTCCAAAAACCTCCAACCAACCAAAAACCTCCGCAAACACCTAATGAAATCATACAGAACTTCTTAAAAACCTCCAATGGGACTGTCCGTTTTCTTTTTCATTGTTTAAAATATCATTTTTTTTGTTTCATGAGTCATTCGTTAAACGGAGTTTCCACCAGTATTGGAATGGGAAGAGAAACTCTCCAAAATCAATTTGTTCATTGAAAGCCCCTTCCCGGTGCACAGAAAGATGATCTTGATTCCAAAACAATACTTATCAGAAATTTATATCAAAATGGAACCAAGAAATCAAATTGCATAAAATTAATTGCCATGTTTAAGAAATTTAGGATAAAATTTTTATCAGCATGTATGGAAACAGTTTTCCCGAATTTAATTGTCCACTCAGCATGTCTAAAAGACCTTCTAGGAGGAGTACATGTTCACCTCCACACCGTGCGTCTTTTTAATTTCCAGCTCAGCGCCACATTCAATAGAGACATTTGCATTGGAGATATAATTTTTACATCAACATCCGTTTGACACATGTGGCAATGCATTTTTAAATCCACATTATCATTAAAGATGCTCTAACGCATTATAGGGCTGGACTCGGGCCGGGCGGCCCGAACCGGAACCGGCCCGGCCCGGTTACTGTGTGAACCGGCCCGGCCCGGTGGCCCGGTCCACCGGCGGTTCGGGTCGAACCGGCCCGGTGGATACCGGTTCCGGGCCCGGGCCCTCCATTTGGTGAACCGGCCCGGCCGGTTCGGGCCCGGTCCGGGCCGGAATAATTTTTTTTTTATTTTTTTTTTGAAATTTTTTTAATTTTTGGGTTGGATTAGTTATTTTGGGCCATTTGAGGTGGTTTGGGGTGGTTTGGGGTTGAGGGGGAGGGGTAGAGGGTTAAATAAGAGAAGCCAAAAATTTAAAAAAAAAAAAAGGGGCGGGTGAACCGGCCCGGAACCGGCCCGGTCGGGCCCGGAACCGGCCCGGAACCGGTCACCGCCGGTTCGGGCCCGGGCCCTCCTATTGGTGAACCGAGGCCCGGCCGGTTCAAGGCCCGAACCGGGCCCGGCCCGAACCGAGTCCAGCCCTAACGCATTATAATGAACTACTTGATGACTATTTTATTTCCCTCCATTCTAAAATGAAGTCCATTTTAATTAAGTTGAAAGTTAACATTAGCCTGAATGATTAAATTATTATAAACAATTAAACAAATACGGAGCAAGGCGCACACACACATATACTTCGTATATATATTACTACACTAAAGTATTATTGAATTGTAAACCCACATACGAATGTTGGAAATGTTGCATATAAAATTGCAAGGAAATTATTATAAGCTTCACAAAAGATTGGAATGTTGTTCTGTTTTGGCTCCATATAAAATATCTCACGATAAAATGACTTTGGGGTAGATTTTGGCACATTAAAGGACCTTTTCCAAAATTTAAAGCCATTTTATTAGGAGAGAGGACAGATGTGATCAAAATATTTGTCAAATCCATTTTTTTTGTATGTAACTGTGATAACATTTTCATATATATATTCAGCTATTAAAATGTAAATATATTGTAGGAGATGTTGTAGCCTGTAGGTAGAAAGAGTGGACGTGAACCGCACTTGATTTTGTTGAATAATGTGCGCGATTGGACACAATCGTGCACATCTTCTCAGGACCGCACATCTTTTGGTAACTGCACTTTTTTTTCTTCTTCTTATGAACTGTTTGTTTTATCAGTCAAAAACATTAGGGATAAGGGTCAGATAAGGCCTCGAACTTGAAAAAAAATGTCAAATAAGGCTATATTTAGGATGCTCTGTCTGGCCGACGCCATTTGGGGTGGTTCCCGTTGGAATTTTTTGATGAATTTTTTTGAGAATCTTATTCATTAAGTCTAGTTTAGTCATATCAAATTTGAACTAACAATTCAATCGGGAAGACATTCAAATGAATTCATGAAGATAATTGCGCTTTTAACAGTACAGTTATCTTCAAGAATTCATTTGAATGCCTTCCCGATTAAAGTTTTAGTTCAAATTTGATATGAGTAAACTAGACTTAATGAATAAGATTTTCAAAAAATTTCATCAAAAAATTCTACCGGGAACCACCCTAAATGGCATCGGCCGGACAGAGCATCCTAAATATGGCCTTATTTGACATTTTTTTTCAAGTTCGAGACTCTATCTGACTCTTATCTCAAAACATTATTGAATATTTAGATCTGACCAATTTTTTCCAAAAAAATAAGGAAGATCCTAGCACACTAGCAAGTTTATATATGGCGCGGCACCGATCTTGCTTTCTCTTAAAATGATTTTTATTCACACTTACAACTATAGCCCTCCTACTCTTTTGTATTTTCATTACTTTTAATAAATTGGTAAGGTGTTTCCTGGTCCTTTAATTTGCTGGTCTGGTTTGGTCTATTTAAATCTGATCTGATCTGAACTGATAAGGTCTGGTCTGGTAAACGTGTGATTTCTGTGTATTTTATAACTACGGAAGTCAAGTCTGGTCTAATCTGTTTAAGTCTGATCTGGTTTGTTTAAGTCTGGTCTGGTCTCATCAGGTCTGTTTAAGTTTGACCTGGTCTTCATCTTTTATAGAGATTGCTTCAAACCTACTCCGTATTGTTATACCCGTAGTAATTCAATACAGACTAGAGACTACTTTATAACTACTCCATTTAAGAATTGCATACTTTAAGGTAAATACTACCGAGTAATACTGTATGTACTCAAAGTCTCGAAGTTAGAATTAAAATTTTATCATCAGAGGACTGCAAAGTTAGGTTCACTATAAATAAGAGATCTGAAAGATAAAATGTGCCAATATAACATTTAAATGATTGAAAATATAAATCAAACATCTAGAAAATCACAGATTCTGATTTTTTAATTTCTTATAAATTTCATTGCTAATTTTTTATGATCTTTCTTTACAAAAGTTTATTGATTTAATAAAATTAAATAATAATCACTCCATACTTTTTTGAATTATTTTTTTTAAATAAAAAATATTAAAATTCATCGTATTTTAGGTCTTTGATTGATAGATTTCAATTATCCAAGTCCTTTATTAACACATCTGTTCTAAAAATCGTTCTAGGCGTCCGACTAGTCTCCGCCTAGGCTAGACGGTGGTCGAACGCCCCGATTTTCGCCTAGGCGCTCCTACTAATTGGTTTGTCATCAAGGTGAATTAGTCGACTGCCTATGGACACTAGTTGCCCGCCTAGAGCGCCTAATCAGCCACCTAGATCATCTAGATTCGCTGAACATAACTTTGCTTTATAGTTTTAATTTTCTAAGCGATATAAGTGTTTTAACTTTAGCCCAAATAGAAAGATTGAAGTTGAAAATTAAGATAAAGACTATATGTGTTTGTATATATACCTAAATTTTATTATTATTTATATGTATAACATAATGATGTTAAGTATTAGTTATCATATACTACATATAATTAAATGTGATAATTCTACCAGTTATGTTCATTAGTGTATTTGTATATATGTATTTTATACACAAAAGAATACAATATTAATTATCATATTTGTGCAAAAACATAGATAAAAATGCAATTTCTATGTCTCTGACTAGTCCTCGACTAGGCAGCCTAGCCGCCTAGGCGCTAAGCGCTGGGCTGGAACCCGACTAGCACCTAGCGCTTTTTAGAACATTGATTAACACAATGTATCTTTCAAAAAGATAAAAATCTTAATTTTTTAACTCTAACTCATACTTAACCTAGTCACTGCTCGAAGTGTGATGAAATTTCGCACTAATGGTGAACTTTAATGTATATAGTACTACCTCCATCTCAAATTGATTTGCAAATTTGACTTTTCTTGCTCAAACAGTTCGATTGAATTTACTTAATTGAGATGTTAATTTTTTTAGATTGTAATTTGGAGTTTGCAATTTTGAAGAAATTTTAATGTAGTTTCTGAATATGTAAATTGTAATTATTAAAAATTGAATTAATTATCGATAAGGAGGATTGACTTCAATTACTGATTAACCAAAAAATGTTGACTTTGCAAAACAATTTAGGACGGAGAAAGTAATGATTAATATTTGGCCAAAGAAAAATAGTAATGATTAATATTTTTGTGTAATGGCTTCAATTTTTTTTTGTATAATACTCCATCAGTCACATTTTGTAATATATTTTTCCTAGCTATTGACTTGGTCAACACAAATCACTCTTAGTGTCTTATTTTATATATCAAATTTTTATCAAATTTGATTCTGATTTGTGTGATTTTGTTAAGCTTTTAACGCAATTTCTAAATAGGTAATTATTTTTTCTAAAAATAATTTAAATGCGAACAAGAATCTGTTTGCTTCATCATCGATCAAACATTGTAAACCGTAAAGTGTCTTACAATTCGAGACTCAAGTAACAAATATGCAAATGATAACTAAAATTAGATAATACGTACTAGTAGTATAGTTTTTTCATTCTTTTTTAAGTTTCCCGCATTTTTTGTTGGGACGTTACAATTTTTGTGATTCTTTTTTTATATTTTAGTAACCGTATAATTTTTTTTGTTCATATTTTAGTGATTGTAATTATTGTTGAGTGTTCATGGGTCAATTATTTACATGTCCAACAGTTCAAGATCTACATTACCAGCCCAGCTTTTTATGAAATTTCATCGCAATGGAGCTGTTATTAATCTACTCCGTGTAAAATTTCAGCATAACCACCAGTAGCGACCAAATACGAACACAAACAACCGCAAAAACATTGAACAGTGACCAGAAACCATGTGAAACTAATTGAAGCGCCCAAAAAGCGCGGGACATATTAGTAGTAAACCGCCAAACAAGGAATTAAAAAACAAGTCCATCAATCCCTCCAGTTTCCGTCGGGAGCACCACCGCTCCTGTAGCCACCTCCTCCATATGCACCACCACTTTGGCCGCCTCCGTAACCATGCTGTTCGCCGCTGCCGTAGCTACTTCTGTCGCCGCCGCCGTAACCACGGCTATCGCCACCTCCGTATCCACGGCTATTGTCGCCTCCGTAACCACGGTCGTCACTGCCTCTGTAACCACGGCCGCCACTTCCATAGCCACGGCCGCCTCTGTAACCACCACCTTCACGCCGATTACCATAAGAGCCACCTTCACGGTTACCGTATCCGCCACTGCGTGACCCGCCGCCGCTGTTCTCGCGAGGCTGTGCCTCGTTAACGGTAACTGTACGGCCATCAAGTTCCATGCCGTTCAAACCCGCGATCGCATCCTTCATCCCTTTTTCAGTTTCAAAGGTAACAAAACCGAATCCCCTGGATCTTTCAGTTTCACGATCCTTGATAATCTGATCAAACAAAATCCACAACAAACGCAATCATCATTATCATCATCACTTTCATCCAGATCTGAGGCGTTTTGAACCGAAATTAATGCCCACAAACAAACAAAAACAGCTCGATCAATTGACCTTCAACTCTTAATCGAAGAGGAAGACGGAACATACCGTTTCACGAATAGGAATAACAGTAACATATAGAGAACAGTAACGTAGATGAAGTAACAGAGAGAAGTATAAGTGAGAGAGAGAACAGGTCGGGTCGGTTCGGATCCGATCCGATCATTGCTCTGCGCGTCAACAGACCTTGGTTTCCGTAACCTTGCCGTAATTTGCGAAAGTCCTTTCCAGGTCGTCTTGGATGGTATTAAAGTTCAATCCACCGACGAAGCACCTGAACTGCGGCCCGTACTCAACATCTGCGAAAGCCATTTTTTCAGAGGGAGATGAAACAATAAACTACCGAAGAACTGAATAATTCAGTACGTGATTAGAGAATATTGTTGATGGAAGGGAAGGATTGATCGAATTATATAGGCGAGCCGGGAGGATTCTGGTAGGTGATGGCTATGCGTGATGCAGTGGAACGCTATCCTGCTTTTGGCCCGGAATTAGCGGGGGCTGCTGAAGATGCGTTTGTCAATCGCCCGATTTTTGCGGATCGACTATTCTTCTTAGCTGAGAAATTCTCACCATTCATACGGAAAAAATATCCCAACTCAAAAAAGCGGAAATGCCTAGCTACGGCATAGAGGGGTGGGGACAAATTACTGAATTGGTGGGAAAAAGGCTCGTTTACTAAATTGGTTAAAAAAACTTTCAAAGACAAATCGGTAAAAAAAACAAAATTGGGATGGGAGTAATATTTCAAAAATTCTAGTCCATAAAATCACTATGAATATTTTTACTGTTTTATCAATATGAACATTTGCTACTCTAAATGGAGTAGATTTTTTTTAAAACTAACAACATATTCATATTCAAAATATTAATACTAGAAATGAATGAATGTATATGTGTGTCCTCGTCTAAATGTACATGTGTTAAAAATGATAGTGGTAGTAGTTCTATAAAATAAAAGTAAATACTTCATCCGGTTCTAAATAAACTCCACACTTTCCTTTTTGGGTAGGTCCCAAATAAACTTCACACTTCTCTTATTTCTTTATTTGGCAAAGAAATCACATCAAAACAGTATTAAACAGTGTCACAACAGTGTACTCTACAGTAAAAGTCAAATTTATTTCCTTACTTTGTGTGAAGTCGAAGTGTGAAGTTTAAAAAGAACCGGAGGGAGTATAATTTTTGAAACTTTTTTTAAAACTTATTAAAAAATAAAAGGTATATACTTAAAGAGTTTTTACTTGGACTTTAATTTGCTGGTCTGGTTTGATAATGTCTGGTCTCTTTATATTTTTATAATTATCCAAGTCTGGTCTGGGACGAATTGCAGTGCAAGTAAAAACATCCTAAGTTAAATATAAATGTTTTACAATTTATATTCTTAATAGTCATTTTACGTCTTAACAAATAATTAATTAATCACAAAAATTTAAGTTAGTAAACAAGCACTTATGATCGCTAATGAAAGATGTTGGTTAAAACAGCTAACACCCTAGTTGAAATTTTTATTCATCCATTTTTATGTCAAAATCAGAGTGAAAGAATTGAAAACGTCAATTCACAATATTTAAGGGGGCTAAATGTCGTGAGCTCTGATAAGCACGATAGTTACCTATATTATATATATGTAATTATAATTATATGTGCAAATATTCAAAGAAGAATCGAGTAAAAATCTCAATTTGAGCAAAAACACACAAAGGCGGTCAAGAATGAAGAAACGTGAGTCAACAGCTAAAGGGGATCAAGAAACAGCACCCCGATTAGCTATTTATTTTACGAAAATCAGTGCCGAAGTGAATCGACGCTGATCCAGCCTGCAACTGGCGCCGGTTTAGTCTGATTCTGCACAAAACTATGAGACGTACAACCATATTTTGATGGGAAAACTTCACCTTCCATATGATTTGATCAAATATTTCTTTCATGCTTAATTGTTGGGTTCAAGTAGACTAAAAAATGTCATTCTTTACCTATATAAAACCCTCAATTCATCAAACAAGTTAACAGAAAAACTTGCGCATAAAGAGATGTAACTCGCGCACGAGATGATCTAATCGTGGCTAAGAAAATGTAACTCGTGGATAAGATGCAACTAGCGCATAAAAAGATGTAGCTCGCACATAAAGAGGATGTAACTCACGTGTAAGAAGATGTAACCCACACTAAAAAGACGTAACTCGCGCATAAAAAATGCAACTCCATATATTATCAAATGTAACTTCATGAATCAAAATAAATAAACTCAATGTCTTAAAAAACTTTTAAAAACATATGAAATAGAAAATATATATATGAGAGAAAACTATTGTGAATATAAAACAAATATTACAAAAATAAAAATAGTGTAAGAATATGAAATGTGATATATTTATTTATTTAGACTAATAAATCTTTTTGTTATGAATTGATAAAGAATAAAAATAGATTGCGTTATAGTTTAAGTTGAAGATAAAGAAAAGTGAAATTGCAATTAATTACTCCTTCCATCCCCCTTATATTGTCCTATTTTACCTTTTTGGGAAGTCCCGCTAAAATTTTCCCATACCATATTTGGTAATGTTTGTGTGGCTCTAAATCATTCTTGTTTTATTCTTACTTTATCAATTAATATCAACCACACAAACCAACTTTTCTTAATAATCGTGTCACCCTCTTCCGTCCCAATATAAAAAGGACGGAGGTAGTAGTATTTTGATGCAGAAGGAGAAAAGAAAAATAAAGAAGGAAAAGCAAAGGAAAAAGAAAAACTATGCCAAAGAAGACCGGAGAAACAAAGGAAAAAAGAAAAGATATGCTCCTGGAAAGAAAAAAGACAATCTACCAACGTAAAAGTATGAATACACTGTGAACATGGTGTAATGATCCCACAATATAATTTGACTTTACTTAATTTCAAGAAAAAAATGAACAATGATTTAAAAACAATTAAGCTGTATGTTACTCACTAAATAATCTCTCTTTGTCCAAATTGTAAACTATTTTTAAATAAAAAACTTATAGAGTAAAGGAATAATTAGGGAATTCTATTTAATATTTTAAGAAATCAATATAAAATTTTTGTATTCCACTTTAAGACGAAATAAAAGAATTGTTTATTTCCATCCGGGAAGTTCCACCTACTCTGAGGTGGCAGGGGAGGTAGTTGGGAAGTTGGAGAGGGGTAGTCACCGCTGGAAAATTATGTAACTGGCGGCAGCGGTGGAACTGTCACTTGCGACGACGTGGCTGTCACTGGAGCCTTGTGTCACTGTCATTGTGCAAGGTGTAAAAGTCATACAAGTCTTATTTTTGGAAAATTTTAAAGTTAGTCATATTTTTGTTCAAGATATTTATTTGTGGTAATATTATTAATTGGTGACAAAACTCCATATTTTATTTTCCCTAAGATAAGACTAAACATTGCCATCATTTCTTCATTGTTTTGCCTCGATCCAGCGTTGTCGCTTGTCTTTTCTTGCTTAGCCTCCACTGTCCCCGCCTCGCTTCACCGGTATTGCCTCCATTTTTCCCGCCTCGCTTTGCCAGTGTTGCTTCCATTATCATTGGTTGACTTCACTGATTTATGTCCACCTAGCAGGTAATTGATTCATATCTCCTCCTCCCCCTCCTCATGTTCTTTTCATTTTCTTCTATCTTCTGCTCATCTTCTTACAGGTCCCCTATATTCTTATTTTTTCAAATTTTTTCTATTAACAAATCAAAATACTATTTGGATCTGAAAACTTCATGTGAAAAGCGATGTTTCAACGAATGATGTATGTGATCTGGAATATTTGGGTTTGATTTTTTTATTAATTTATTATTTTTATTATTTTCATTTATGAAAATGCCATATATGCTTGGTATTATAAAAAATGTAACTTTGTGACATTACATTGTATCAAGATGGCAATTTTACTTTGAAAGCATAATGCTTACAATGACATGTTTTTGGCATTTTCACCAAATGATGTCATTTTTGTGGCACTGAATGTATAAACATGGCAATATTATTTATGATTTTTCATTTTTATTTTCTTCTCAAATATTATATTTTCACTTTTAATATGATAGTCACAAAATGCATATATGTTTATTTCATGTTTATATCATAGTCACAATATGAGTCACAAAAATTCCAAAATTGTTTGCCTCAAAATGCATATATGTTTATTTCATCTAAAAATTTCATGTTTACACATATGAAAATGTCATATTTCTATACAAAAATGTCATTACTTTGTCATTATCTTATGCATTCTCACTGGAGGTCGGCAAGGGACTGTCTGGAGGGCGGCGGCGGCTCCTCGGAGGATGGAGGCTACGAACTCAGTGATGGGCGCCATCAGAGGCGTCTTGGTTGTGGATGTCGAATGAATAGTCGATGTATGCTACGACATATCAGGTCACTCGAAAACTAGGATATGAACTTTATTAAGGGTATTTTTGTCCAGTTATGCAACTTTTAGTCCTATAAAACATAGGGAAAAGTAGCAAATAAGCCCTCGAACTAACAAAAAAAGTGCAAATCACCCCTTATATATGAGGTTCTATCCGGCCGTCGCCATTTGGGCGGTTCCGGTAGAATTTTTTGATGAAAGATTTTGAGCATCTTCTTCATTAAGTCTAGTTTACCCATATCAAATTTCAGATAAAAATTAAATCGGGAAGGAAGTCAAATGATTTTCCAAAATGTACTGCGTTGTTTAACTGCGCAGTTATCTTCAAAAATTCATTTGATTGCCTTCCAGATTGATTTTTAATGTGGAAATTGGTATGGGTAAACTAGACATAATGAAGAAGATTGTTCAAAATATTTCATCAAAAAATTCTACCAGGGACCTCCCCAAATGGCGACGGCCGGACAGAGCCTACAATATAAGGGGTGATTTGCACTTTTTTGGTTAGTTCGAGGGCTTATTTGCCTCTTTTCCCTAAAACATATGAGTCCTATTTTTGCATTTGTTCCATGTTTTAGTCCTTTTAAAGAAATTCTCTGTAATATTATTAGAATACACTTTCCAAGAAAATTATATTGAAGTTCTAATCAACTCACACAGGAATCAAGTTTGATATAGACTTATGGAATACATAATTGTAGTCCTCTACTTTTCAAATTATAAGACTTTAGGATCATATTTTACTTACAAAAGAACATTAGTATTTGAGTAAATATTACTTCTATATGAATCACATCTCCCATTGAACTTTTCTTTCTCATAGTCTTTTCTATTTATAAGTCAGCTGCAATTTCAATTGCAGATTTATGGTCAAGTTCATGATATATACTCCCTCCGTCCCTTATAACTTTGCCAACTTTCCATTTTTAGATGTTCCAATAACTTTGCCACTTTCCCATTTAAGTAAAGAATTTGTGGTTCCAG